CGACCTTGCCTTCCAGTGCGGGACAGCGCGTGGACCACAGTCCGGAAAAAAGTGACGAGATGACCACAGGGATCGGCGCTGGCGTGGGTGTCACTCTTGGCGTGGGCACCATCCTGGCGATTGTGCTGGTGGTCTATTGCCGGAAGAGGGGGATAACCAGAGCTAGAGAGGTATTGTCAAATAAACGTATACATTTGCAGATCAATCATAATGAACATTTCATTCTTTCATCTCTTAAGCTATTTCGGTTGAAGGGAACAGCGGCGTTTTCCTATTATTTCAGTCTATGTTTCATTTCTCAAGGTATTTCAGTCTGTTTCATTTCTCAAGGTATTTCAGTCTGTTTCATTTCTCAAGGTATTTCAGTCTGTTTCATTTCTCAAGGATTTCAGTCTGTTTCATTTCTCAAGGTATTTCAGTCTATGTTTCATTTCTCAAGGTATTTCAGTCTATGTTTCATTTCTCAAGGTATTTCAGTCTGTTTCATTTCTCGAGGTATTTCAGTCTGTTTCATTTCTCAAGGTATTTCAGTCTGTTTCATTTCTTAAGGTATTTCAAAATGTTTCATTTCTCGAGGTATTTCAGTCTATGTTTAATTTCTCAAGGTATTTCAGTCTGTTACATTTCTCAAGGCATTTCAGTTAGGGCAGAGGTTAACCTGTGGGTCGCGACCCCTTTGGATGTCGAATGAGCCTTACACAGGGGTCGCCTAAGACCATCGGAAAACACATTTATAAAGTAGCAACGAAAATAACTTTATGGTTGAGGATCACCAGAACAGGAGGAACTGTATTAAAGGGTCGCGGTATGATGGAAAGTTGAGAACCACTGGGTTAGTGAAACAATTTCGGGCATTTTTAATAGGATGCAAAGAAATGTAATTATTTCTATTTTTTCAGTTATTAACTGAAAGATATCTACGAAGAGCACCATTTTAAACAAAAATTTTTTTTACTATAACACAACTAATGGACACATCAGAACATGGACACATTTTTACAAAGTCAAGCAATAAATTTGTCGCTGTTGAATTAAATAAAGGAAGATTTTATGACATAGGGACTCTTTTGCTATTAATGATTTATAGTACAGACTGGAAACCTTGACCTCGAAATGAAACCGGAAACAGTCACACGGAGGCAAAAGAAAAATAGAGATGGCTGTCGTCGGTGGGGAAGGGACGTTGCGAGCATGAAAGTGTAACACTAACGTACTCCGATATTTATTTATTTATTTATTTAGGCATTTTTATATAGCGCTTATCATAAAGCTCTAAGCGCTTTACAATTATTAAAACATGTAAACTAAGTAAATACAAATGAGACACTAGGATAGTAACTACTATTTGGCATTTTTATATAGCGCTTATCATAAAGCTCTAAGCGCTTTACAATTATTAAAACATGTAAACTAAGTAAATACAAATGAGACACTAGGATAGTAACTACTATTCTATAGAAACAATGAAAATGGCCATAAAACGAGGACACTTTGACACTTCAGGATCAACCCGAAACAGAAAATGAGGTAGGGCAAGGAGGGTGCATCACAGGTCATAGGCGGACCTAAACAGATGAGTTTTAAGGGACTTTTTGAAAATGGACGAGGTTTCACTATGACGTATATGGAAGGGGAGCTGGTTCCAGAACGTCATTTGGCTACGCCGGAAAAAAGTTAGACATGTAATGACAACAGAGACTGATCTTACACACAAGAAGTGAACAAGATTGAGACGCAACGACCGTCAGCTCTGGGGGGTTTCAGTCGATGTCAACTATTTTACCTCAATAAAACCTTAGAGAATTAATCCATCGCCATGCGGTCTTGTCTATAATCAATACAAAATGTGTTCTTTTTCCCCGACACTGTCATGGTAGAGAAGTAGACGTCCACTCCAGCCAGAATCTCACTCCTGGGGTGAAATCTTGAAGTGGAGGAAGCGCGAAGAGGTACTCCCTGAGATTTAAGGGGGATGAATTGAATGTGTGTGTGCGTTGTTGTGTGTGTCTGTGCGTGTGTTGAACGTGTGTGTTGTGTGTGTTGACTGTTTGGGTTGACTGTGTGGGTTGACTGTGTGGGTTGACTGCGTGTGTTGACTGCGTGTGTTGACTGCGTGTGTTGACTGCGTGTGTTGACTGCGTGTGTTGACTGTGTGTGTTGACTGTGTATGTTGACTGTGTGGGTTGACTGTGTGTGTTGACTGTGTGTGTTGACTGTGTGCGTCGACTGTGTGCGTCGACTGTGTGCGTTGACTGTGTGCGTTGACTGTGTGGGTTGACTGTGTGGGTTGACTGTGTGGGTCGACTGTGTGGGTCGACTGTGTGGGTCGACTGTGTGGGTCGACTGTGTGGGTCGACTGTGTGGGTCGACTGTGTGGGTCGACTGTGTGGGTCGACTGTGTGGGTCGACTGTGTGGGTCGACTGTGTGGGTTGACTGTTTGTGTTGATTGTTTGTGTTGATTGTTTGTGTTGATTGTTTGTGTTGACTGTTGGGTTGACAGTGTGTGTTGAGTGACAATTGCAAACATAAGTGTTTTTTTGTAAAATTTTACCTGGGTGAGGGAGAGCAGTGTTCGCACACCAGCTGGTGACGTCACTGATGGGTAGGCTTCCAACTGGGGAGCACTTTCCAACGGAGAAGGGTACTTTCCAACGGAGAAGGGCACTTTCCAACGGAGAAGGGCACTTTCCAACGGAGAAGGGCACTTTCCAACGGAGAAGGGCACTTTCCAACGGAGAAGGGCACTTTCCAACGGAGAAGGGCACTTTCCAACGGCGGGGCACTTTCCAACGGTGGGACAACTTTCCATCTGGTGGGCCACTTTTCAACGGAGGGGGGCACTTTCCAACGGAGGGGGCCACTTCCCAACTGCGGGGCCACTTTCCAAACTGGGGGGACACATTCCAACTAGGGAGCCACTTTCCAGCTGGGGGATACTTAAGAACAATGTCATATTGCAATTTGTGTGGGTGCAAAGTTTATTATTTAGAAATAATAAATTAAAATGGAATTTTGACTGAGATTCTCAAAACAAATTTGGCAAGGATTTACACAACGTGATGACGTCACCAACGCTAATACCTACTTTATATTTCTTTTCACGGTCTTATCCAACCAAAAGTCGAACAATCTGTTTTAATAGTTTTGGGTACATTTTAAAAAAAAATTGTTTCATAAAAGTAAATGTTCTTTTGTTACAAATTTTTTTTTTATAAATTAAAAAAAAAATAATAATAATTTGTATCTTAAAGAAACCCAACCCCCTTGAGGATGTTCCGAGGAAGTACATTCACTATCTGAACAATGAGGTTGGCAAGGGCTGTTTCGGTACTGTGAACCTGGCCGAGGTGTGGAACCTCCACAGAGCCAAGGGCAATGAGGGGAAGCGTTGGACGCTGGTGGCCGTAAAGACCCTAAGTAAGTCAGTCAACCGTAAAAAAAACAAAAAAAAACAAAAAAAAAAAAACAAAAAAAAACATGCACATTATGAGTATGAGAAATGAGTCTAAGATAGATTGACTTGTTAAATGACAGGCTTCTTTTTAAGGTATACTTGAGTTCAACTTTTTAAACTTAATTTATTACGTTAAGTTATTATTAAGAACCGAATTTATACATTTCTGAGCCCTAGGCCTAGTTAATTAATTATGCGGGATCCCCCCCCCCCTTAACCCTTTCCCGTCCCCCATTGCAAAACAGGATATTTATAACTTCCGATTTTATATATAATTTAGTTTTGGAAAAATGTATCCTTAGATCCAATCTTTATAATGTTTGAATCAAATAAAAATTTTTTTATCCAAATACGCTACTACTAAACTACAGCATTTTATTTGTCCCTTTTCATAGTTATAATAAAGAACTTTTAAATAGTTGGTTAATTTCTTCTGTACATACGCCCCCCCCCCCTTGACTACTGCACCACAGGCCATGGTCTAGGTTAGCCCTATGGGATATCTGCCATGTTGGGTGTAATGGGAAATCCGAAATCATATTCGCACAATATTTTCCAAAAGGGCTAAGAATAAAAAAACAAACAATCATCAGCTATTTCTGTGTGTGCAGAAAGTATCGGTTTCAGTGGGAAGATATTTAAAATGTACGTTTGTTTCGTTTCTCTTCTGTATTTGAACAGTGATTTATTTTTTTTAAATTTCACTAAAATATTTCAAATGTTATGCAAAATATTAAATCGCCGATATAGAAAATTCAACTATTTTAAATACTATGGACATCTGCCGTCACCGAAGGGATGACCTGAAGTGCGATAATGCTATCTCAAACATCTTGATCGCCGATAGAGTCGGCCGAAAGTAACGTTCTTACCTTCTAACACATCTAGTCGACCTCACGAAGAACGACGACGCCAGACGAGATTTCCTGGCCGAGATGGCGCTGATGAAGTCTATCCCGCCCCACGCCAACATCATCACACTCCACGGCAGCTGCACTGCTCATGGTCAGTACGAATGTGGAATGTGGGGGGNGGGGGGGGGGGGGGGGGCGTGGGGGTGTAGAGGGAGTGGGGTTTGTGTGGGGGGGGAGGGGGGTCGCGAATATCCTCAAAGGGATGTGATGAATTTGAAGACTACATTATACAGTGAAAAAAGTTTCATTTAACAATATTATTTGTGACCAACTTAAGTATCAGTACCTTCGGACCAGGCATTGTGACCACGACAGCAAATCAGATGCGTGAATGTAACGGGTTTTTACACCTGGTGAATGAACATATAAGAATAATGTAGGGCATAATTATGTCGCCACTTACGATACATAGAGACCAAAAAAAATATTTTTTTTCAAGAGATTTAATATATTCTGTCAGGTTGATAGTTTTTTTTAATAGTTTTTTTTTTATACCAAATCTTGTTCACTGTATCGTATATATTAAATTATTTTTTAATCTCTAACCCAGAACCTTATCTGATGATCCTCGAGTTTGCTGCGCTGGGTGACCTGAGGAAATATCTACACGGCCAGAGAATGTCACTTTGCCCCAAAGACTACGGTGTGAGAACCAGCCCCGGTGTGGCAGCCAGCCCCGGTGTGGGAGCCAGCCCTCGTGTGGGAGCCAGCCCTGGAGTGGGGGCGGGCCTGGAAGATGTGGACCATGCCGCTTATGCGTACGTCACCCATTGGTGGGGGGGGGGGGGGCTATTTGAAAGGAGCATTTTAATGTTTGAACAGATTTCGGTTCGCTGAAAACTTTCGTCTTATCTTCCAAACATTGACAAAAATTCCACAAAGAAATCATCAGTCAAGTCATACGTCTTCTTTGTAAGGATAATGAATTTTAAAAAAAAATGATTTCTCTGTTTCTAAAGAATGCCAGTTGAAGAAGATGGTGTGGAGGAGGGGGGAGAAACGGTGACGTCTCGACTGTTGTCATTCGGTCTTCAGATCAGCCGGGGCCTGGAGCATCTGGCCAACAACAAGGTAAGGGGTAGCCACTTCTGTCAGGGGTAGCCACTTCTGTCAGGGGTAGGCACTTCTGTCAGGGGTAGCCACTTCTGTCAGGGGTAGCCACTTCTGTCAGGGGTAGACAATTCTGTCAAGGGGTAGACAATTCTGTCAGGGGTAGCCACTTCTGTCAGGGGTAGCCAATTCTGTCAGGGGTAGCCAATTCTGTCGGGGTAGCCAATTCTGTCAATGGTAGACAATTCTGTCAGGGGCAGCGCCTTCTGTCAGGGGTACACAATTCGGTGAAGGGTAGGCACGTTTGTGAAGAATGTCCACTTCTATGAAGGATATCCAATTCTGTGAAGGATAGCCACTTCTGTGAAGGATATCCAATTCTGTGAAGAATAGCCACTTCTATGAAGGATATCCAATTCTGTGAAGGATAGCCACTTCTGTGAAGGATATTCTATTCTGTGAAGGATAGCCACTTCTGTGAAGAATATCCATTTCTGTAAAAGATAGCCACTTATGTGAAGGAAAGCCACTTCTGTGAAGGATATTCTATTCTGTGAAGGATAGCCACTTCTGTGAAGGATATCCATTTCTGTGAAGGATAGCCACTTTTGCGAAGAATAGCTACTTCTATGAAGGATATCCCAATTCTGTGAAGGATAGGCATTTATGTGAAGGATAGCCACTTTTGTGAAGAATAGTCACTTCTATGAAGGATATCCTATTCTGTGAAGAATAGCCGCTTTTGTGAAAGATAGTCATTTCTGTGAAGGATAGCGCCTTCTGTGAAGGATATCCATTTCTGTGAAGGCTAGCGACTTTTGTGAAGAATAGTCACTTCTATTAAGGATATCCTATTATGTGAAGGCTAGCCACTTCCTTGAAGGATAGCCACTTTAGTGAAGGATAGCCACTTTAGTGAAGGATAGCCACTTCTGTGAAGGATAGCCACTTCTGTGAAGGATAGCCACTTCTGTGAAGGATAGCCACTTCTGTGAAGGATAGCCAATTTTGACACGGAAAAACAATTTTGTCAAGTGTAGCCTACATTTGCTATCAAGAGTAGCCATTTCTGTCACTGACATCATTGACATCCATTAATCTTAGAATTGGAGAGTGGATATAAGTGACTATGAGTGTGGATAAGAGTGGACAGGAGTGTGAATGCATAAGGGGGATTTTAAAGTGTGGATATGTAAGTGTGGATATGTAAGTGTGGATATGTAAGTGTGGATATGTAAGTGTGGATATGTGTGGATATGTGTGGATATGTGTGGATATGTAAGTGTGGATATGTAAGTGTGGATATGTAAGTGTGGATATGTAAGTGTGGATATGTAAGTGTGGATATGTAAGTGTGGATATGTAAGTGTGGATATGTAAGTGTGGATATGTAAGTGTGGATATGTAAGTGTGGATATGTAAGTGTGGATATGTAGTGTCGAGATACTGGCGTGGACAGAAAGGCCTGGACAGAAAGGCCTGGACAGAAAGGCCTGGACAGAAAGGCCTGGACAGAAAGGCCTGGACAGAAAGGCCTGGACAGAAAGGCCTGGACAGAAAGGCCTGGACAGAAAGGCCTGGACAGAAAGGCGTGGGCAATACTGTGACACGAGTGTGGATATCAGCCACAGTGGCGGGGTGGATGTTGCGTAATGTGAAGATTCATTTAACATAGGCTTTTTATTTTTATGAACTATTTTATTTGAACAGATTGTCCACCGAGATGTGGCGGCCAGGAACATCCTTCTCTCTGATCGAAAAGTTGTGAAAATCTCCGACTTTGGACTGGCCAGACGTGTTGGTGAGGGTGATGTGTACGAGAGGACCAGAAAGGTAGTTTTTATTTTGAATAACTTCCAACTGATTTGAGTGACCATATCGTTGACCATGTTGACAAACCAGGCCATTTCGCATACAGTATACGTATGAACACGAATAATAAGTTATTTATCAATTCCCAATGGAGCTGCTGCCAAACTCCCTTTTAACTCCTGGGAACACGTGACCACTGGATCTACGCACCGACTGACAAGCGCTGGAGAGCGTTCAAGGTGCAGGTGTGACAGTGGTGTTACTTCTGGTGCATGCTGCATCATTCACTTGTCAAAGTCCTGTCTCCAGATCCTCTTCACATTGATCGAATGCAAGAACGCGACATCATTTACAATGCTACTTCAAATAATCACCATTGCTACCTCACATTCTATCCATTGCTAGTTCACAAAATATCAATTGCTACCTCATTTCCTATGTATAAAATTTCCTCACATATTATCTAATGCTACGCCTCGTCATTTCCATTACTGCTTCACATAATCGCTAGTGCTACGTAACATTTCCTATCTATTGCTACCTCACTTCTTACCTATAATTTTCTTCACATATATAATATCTAATGCCACCTCCCATCGTAATATTACTACCCGACATCATCATAGCTCTGGGTACGACAAATTATATCTAGTGCCAGGTCACATCTTATCTATAGGAGCCTCACACACTACTCTATTTCTGCATCACATAGCTGTATTGCTACCTCACATATCTATTTCTACCTCACATCCTATCTCTGGCTACCTCACATCCTATCTGTTGCTACCTCACATCCTATCTGTTGCTACCTCACATCCTATCTGTTGCTACGTCACATCCTTCTGTTACTACCTGACATCCTATCTGTTGCTACCCCACATCCTATCTGTTGCTACCTCACATCCTATCTATTGCTACCTCCCATCCTATCTATTTCCACAGGGTCCACTCCCAGCGCGATGGATGGCCCCTGAATCTTTGTTATACAATGAGTTCAGTCAGAGCTCTGATGTTTGGTCCTTTGGCGTTCTCTTGTGGGAGATCGTCACCTTGGGTGAGCGCAGGGCGGTGTTAAAAACGGGGTGGTGTTAATCACGGGGTGGAGTTAATCACGGGGCGGTGTTAACCTCGGGGCGGTGTTAATCACGGGGTGGTGCTAATCACAGGGTGGTGTTAAACATTTTTTTTCAAAATCCAATAAACACAATTTATTGACTAAAAACCTTTAGGGTGACTGAAATGTACTGTATTGTAATTTTTTGTTCTGGTCACACTTCACTGATCCTTGTCATGCTTTACTGAAATCACGGGGTGGCCTGGAAGATAGTTTCAATTGACCAGACAAGAAGAAAAGGTCATAACATCCCGGCAACTCAATAACATGATTTGTATTCAAACATGACTAAAAACCCGGCAACTCAATAACATGAGTTGTATTCAAATATGACCACAAAAAAAAAAAAAAAAAGGTAACTCTGACATGTATGCGAATATGACCAAACCGCCTGTGAAAATTAAGCTTTACAACATCTAGTTTACATCAATTGCAACCCTATGGTTTTAAAATTATTATAAATATTTTTTGTTTAAAAAGTGGATTCGGAGCTGGAAAGAAAAAAAAAATAGAATCCAATTTTCTCAGATTAAAGGTAATAACATCCCGCAAACTCAATAACATGATTTGTATTCAAAAAAGACTAAAAACCCGGCAACTCAAAAACATGAGTTGTATTCAAATATGACCACAAAAAAAAAAAAAAAGGTAACTCTGACATGTATGCGAATATGACCAAACCGCCTGTGAAAATTAAGCTTTACAACATCTAGTGTACATCAATTGCAACCCTATGGTTTTAAAATTATTATCAATATTTTTTGTTTAAAAAGTGGATTCGGAGCTGGAAAGAAAAAAAAAATAGAATCCAATTTTCTCAGATTTGTTTTTAGTTGTGCACAGCTCACACTTTCACCTGTCCGTCAATGTTTGGCCCTCACCGCACTTTGTTTTAACATAAAAAAGGTCTGGAGCTTGGGGGAAAAATGAATTTTCCTTTTGCTGTGGAATGATGGGAGTATATTGGGGTTATTGCCTTTATTTGCCAACGGCCCGACTAAAGCCCTGACTTACATCGGGGCATAAGCTGACACACATGAGACGTAATCTGACATAAATGTGACATACTCTGACAAACCAGGGACGCACTCTGGAATACGCGTGACGTACTCTGACATCCATTTGCGTACTCTGACATAAATAGCACATATTTTGTGACATCAATGGGGCGTACTATGGCATAAATGTGACGGACACTGATATACAAGTGACGTATACTCTGAAATACGTGACGTACTCTGACATAAATGTGACGTGCTCTGACATAAATGTGACGTACTATGACATAAATGTGACGCACTCTGACATACATGTGACGTACTCGGACAGTCATGGGGCCTACATTGACCGTCGTGTCACATACGCCGCAGGATCCACTCCATACCCAGGACTTTCCAATGCGACCCTGGTGAACAAGATCAAAGCTGGAGGATCGCTCACCTGCCCGCCCCACTCAGCTGCTGTTGTGTAAGTTATGTTTTTTTTTAAAATACCTGTGTCATAGCTCACCTGTCCACCCCACTCATCTGCTGTTGTGTGAGTTATGGGTTTAAAAAAAGCCTGTGTCATAGCTCACTTTCGTTCCCCCATCCTTCAGTTGTGGTCTAAGCTATTGTTTAAGTAACCTCTTTTATAGCTCACCTACCCCCTTTATTCATCAGTTATCATATTAGGTATTGGTTTAAGTAACCTCTGTTAGGGCTCACCTACCCACTTTATTCCACAGTTACATTAATTATGGTTTTAGCAACCTGTTATAGCTCACCTGCCCCCCTTCATTCATCAGTTTTCATGTTATTTATGGGTTAAGTAACCTCAGTTATAACTCACCTGCCCCCTTTTTCATCAGTTATCATGCCAGTTATTGTTTCATAACCTCTGACATAGCTCACCTACCCCCAAAGCTTTATTCGTCAGTTCTCATGTTAGTTATGGTTTTAAACCATCCTCTGTTATAGCTCACCTGCTCATTTCATTCATCAGTTCTCATGTTAGTTATGGTTTAAGTAACCTCTGTTATAGCTCACCTGCTCATTTCATTCATCAGTTCTCATGTTAGTTATGGTTTACGTAACCTGTGTCTTAGCTCACCTGTCCTCGCCACTCATCTTACGTTGTGTAAGTTAGTTTTTTTTTTACGTTGTGTAAGTTATAGTTTTTAAATCACCTGTGTTATGGTCACATCTTTTGGGACCACGGTCTCATTATCCTTATCTCGAGGTTTCATTTCTTTTAAAGGTCTCGTTTCCTCGTGATCTCGTTGTAATGGAAAGTTAGCGACACAGAATAAACCTTCACAACTTTATTTGTAAAAAAAAAATAAAGGGCTTTTTACACAAATTTTCTTATATAGTATTCTAATATAATACAATTAGAACAATCGGATTAACAATTAATTCTAGCACAAAGTACTTACAGTACACAGTGGCATGGATATTTAAAATTATGAGTTCTAATTGTCTTATGTCAGTTTACTGAAATATATTTAGAAAAAAAAGACTTCATTTTTAATATGGTGAATGATTATGTCAGGAAATGAAAAATGAAAGTTTGCTACCGTAGCTATTAAATTTGTTTAAAATAGTTATTACATTAATTTTTTTTAGATATAGGCCTATTTAATAAATAAAAATTAAAAATTGTAAAAAAAAAAAAAACCCCAAAAAAACTATAATAAAAAATGAATAAAAAATAATATAAAGCCATAAAAAGCCTTATTCTATCAGTAGTATCAGAAACCAAGACACACATTNGAAAAATGAAAGTTTGCTACCGTAGCTATTAAATTTGTTTAAAATAGTTATTACATTAATTTTTTTTAGATAAAGGCCTATTTAAAAAATAAAAAATAAAAATTGAAAAAAAAAAAAAAACCCCAAAAAAACTATAATAAAAAATGAATAAAAAATAATATAAAGCCATAAAAAGCCTTATTCTATCAGTAGTATCAGAAACCAAGACACACATTTGACAAATGTAAGTTCCAGTGGATAAATCGTTTTTCCCTCCGCTTTAGTAATGAAGTGATGCTGAGCTGCTGGAGGAAGGCACCGGATGCCCGACCGACGTTCGCCCAGCTGCGAGTGCGCCTGGAGGAACTCCTGGAAGACCAGGTCAACTACTTGGATCTCCAGCAGATGGATGAGAATTTATACAGCATCCTGGATGACTGATGCCTGGAGGCATCGACTGACTGTCTCTCAGGGGACCTACAGGATGAAAATGGAGACTTTTTATTCTTGAGGTTGGCCCACGCTGAATTTTAATGGAGTTTAACGGGAGATAGATAGTTCAGAACCATTTTATTTTTAAAGCTAATTAAAATTTTTATTTTTCATGTAATAAACAATTTTTTTTAAAAATCAGTGTTGTTTTATTTGAGTTTTATGTGGGTTTTTTTTTACTTTATTACAATCATGGTTTAAATTGCCATTTCATATACCTAGCATTTTAATAAAAGAAAGTCACTTTAAAAAAATATAAATTTTGATTTTTGGATCATTATAGAATGAGAAATGTTAGGTTAATTGTTTAAATGATGTACATTAATGAAACAACTTTAAAAAAAAAAAAAAAAGATAGGTCTGGTATTTTAATTGTTTTGTACATTTAGAGCATGGTCATGATTTCTTTACTAAAATGATTCACTTTGACTTGGGATGAAGATCATTTATCAGATTGTATCATTTATCTTTATGATTGTTGATATTTTTATGATAGCAACCAAATTTAACATGATATTTTTATGATACCAACCAAATTTAACATGATATTTTTATGATACCAACCAAATTTAACATGATATTTATATGCTACCGACCAAATTTTAACATGATAATTTTTATGATACCAACCAAATTTTGGCGTAAGTCATTTTTCATGTTGTAGTTGCATTTTTCTTCTAAAATTTTTTTAAATTTTCAAAGTGTTACATGAATGGCTGAGACAACTACTAGAAGAGTTGTAGCAAAAAAGATGTAAATTTATTCCTGATTGTAAATAAAAACAGAGAAAACAAAAATTGAAGAAGAGTTTGTTATTTCATGCGGCAGCCCAAATTACTTTTTCCAAAAATTACAACCATCACCTTGTTGAGCCATGGCTTAAGGATTCCTTTGTTTGCAGCCAAGCGAGGAAATTTGTGATAAATTTCTCGATAATTTGAATTACCTCAGTTGTTTCTAAATGACCCCAAACGCTACTGCATGACTCCAACCCTCCTGCATGACTCCCAACACTACTGCATGACTCAGACTATACTGGATGACTCCAACCGCTACTGCATGAATCAAACACAACTGCTTAACTCCAAACCTACTGCATAAACTCAAACTTTTTGTTCGAGTCAAGCGGTTCTCAAACTGTTGGTCGCGACCACTTGGAAGGGGGGGGGG